TCTGTCTGTTTAGCATTTTATGCCATAACTTTTGAACCGTATAGATTCATATTTGGTATGGATACTTCACCACAAAAACACTTTCAACTGACACCAAGGTCAATGACCTTATAACCTTGATTGTGACCTTTATGCTAAAAATAGCTTTTTCGAACTTTCGCCATAACTTCTGAACCGTGAGAGATAGAGACTTCATATTTGGTATGCATACTCCACTAATTAGGCACTTTCAACTGACACCAAGGTCAATGACCTTGTGACCATGACTGTGACCTTTATGCTAAAAATAGCTTTTTGGAACTTTCGCCATAAATTCTGAACGGTGAGAGATAGAGACTTCATATTAAATTTGGTATGCATACTCTGCTAATTAGGCACTTTCAACTGACACCAAGGTCAGTGACCTTGACTGTGACCTATATGCTAAAAATAGCTTTTTCGAACTTTCGCCATAACTTTAAAACCGTGAGAGATAGAGACTTCATATTTGGTATGCATACTCCACTAATTAGGCACCTTCAACTGACACCAAGATCAATGACCTTGTGACCTTGACTGTGACCTATGTGCTAAATATAGCTTTTTCAAATTTTCGCCATAACTTTTGAACCATAGATGATAGAGACTTAATATTTGGTATGCATACTACACTAAAAAAGTGCTTTCATATGACACCAAGAACAATGATTGTGTGACCTTGACTGAGACCCATTTGCTAAAAATTGCTTTTTAGAACTTAATGTTGCCGCCAGGTGCTACTGTGTCTCACAAACACATCTTGTTCTTGATGAAAAAATTCTAAGTCCAGAGCTCCGTATTTTTTCCGGATGAAAAATATTCTAAGTTAAGAGTTCAATATTTTTCCAGATGAAAAATAGACTAAGTCCAATTCTCCGTATTATTTCCGTTTATTTTCCGTATTATTTCCGTATATTTTCTGCTTTTCCATATTGGTATTTTTTTCCACATTTTTTCCATATTAAAATGAGGAAAAAATACTCCGGAAATCTGGAGATCTGAGGTGCGGGTAGGGTTAGAGGCTTCAAATAGAAGTGATAGGTTGTACAATTTATCAGAAGAGCGATTCAAGGCCCTTGGGCCTCTTGTTGAATTTTATGGCTCATCTTTTCTAAAACATTTAATCCCATTATTTCAGATAATGAGAGGTTTAGATTCACCAAATCTTGTAAGTTGATGCATCTTGGGGCCTTAAAACATATTTATGAAAAAGTAGGTCACTGTGACCTACTTTTTGAATTTTGCAGGCACGGTGACCTACTTTTGACATTTTTTTGGCTATATTTAAGTATCTTGGGTACTTTTTGGCTTATAATCATCAAACTTTGTCTGTTGATACAACTTGGGTTTTCGGAGAATGTAGACCAAAAAGTAGGTCACTGTGACCTAGTTTTGACATTTTATGGCTATATTTCAGTATCTCAGGTACTTTTTGGCTTAGAATCATCAAACTTTGTCAGTTAATGCATCTTTGGTTTTCGGAACATGTCAACCAAAAGGTAGGTCACTGTGACCTACTTTTGAATTTTATGGCTATACATAAGTATCCTGGGTACTAATTGGCCTAGAATTGTCAAACTTTGTCAGTTGAGGCATCTTGGGTTTTCGGAGAATGTAGACCAAAAAGTAGGTCTCAATGACCTACTTTTGATTATCTCAGGTACTTATTGGCTTAGAATCATGAAACATTGTCAGTTGATGCATCTTCGGCCCTCTGAAAATGTTGACCAAAAAGCATGGTGACCTACTTTTGACATTTTATGGTTATATTTAAGTATCTTAGGTACTTTTTGGCTTAGAATTATAAAAACTTTGTCATTTGATGCAACTTGGTTTTTCAGAGAATGTTGGCCAAAAAGTAGGCCACCGTGACCTTCCGTAGTTTAGACATTTTATGGTTATATCTTAGGTACTATTTGGCTTAGAATTATCAAACGTCAGTTGAGGCATCTTGGGTTTTTGGAGAATGTCGACCAAAAAGTAGGTCACAGTGACCTACTTTTAATTATCTCAGATACTTATTGGCTTAGAATCATCAAACATTGTCAGTTGATGCATCTTTGGTCCTCGGAAAATGTCGACCAAAAAGTAAGTCACGGTGACCTATTTTTTTTTTACATTTTATTGCTTTATCTAAGTATCTCTGGTACTTATTGGCTTAGAATCATCAAACTCTGATAGTTGATGCATCTTTGGCCCTCGGAGAATGTCAACCATAAGAAGGTCACAGTGACCTACTTTAATATTTGAGGTACTTATTGGCTTAGAACCATCAATCTTTGTCAATTAATGCATCTTGAGTCCTCAGAAAGTTTCAAATCAAAAAGTAGGTCACCATGTCCTACTTACGGTATTTTATAGGTATACTGAAATATCTTCAGTCCTAATTGGCAAAGAATCATTAAACTTTGTCAGTTCATGCATCTTAGGATACTTAGAGTAAGAGGCTTCAAATAGAAGTGATAGATTGTACAATTTATCAGAAGAGCGATTCAAGGCCCTTGGGCCTCTTGTTAGCTTCTTCTTTGAAACCACTAAACCAATTTCAACCAAATTTGGCATATAGCATCTATGGGTGAAGGGGAACAAAAATTGTGAATTTCATGGTCCCTGCCCCCCTGGGGCTTGGGGGGTGGGGCAAAATCCACTAAAATTAGTGCAATCTTAAAAATCTTCTTCTTTACTCTGGGACATCAAACAGTCAAACTGTTGGTATGATTGTAATCAGCATTGAGTCCTCTACCAAAATTGTGAAATTCATGGCCCTGGGGTCAGGAGTTCTAGTGATAGGTCGTGGCTAAGCAGGTTGTATAGTGAAAATGCATTCTTCTTTAAAATTCTTCTTTTCTGCTCCTGGGCATTAAATAAACTAACCAAGTGCATATGTAAAAGTTGAAAATGACCATCTTTTCCAAAATTGTGAATTTCATGGCCCCAGGGTCAGGGGTTCTAGTGCCAGGGCGGGCCTATATAGATTATATAGTGAAAATGCATAAATTTTTTGAAATTCTTCTTTTCTGTTTGTGGGCATTAAATAAACTAACCAAGTGCATAGTTATGCTGAATAAGACTGCCTCTTCTCAAATTGTGAATTTAATAGCCCCAGGGTCAGTGGTTCTAGTGGTAGCCTAGGGTGGGGCTATATAGATTATATAGTGAAAATGCAAAAATTCTTTGAAATTCTTCTTTTCTGCTCCTGGGCATTAAATAAACTAACCAAGTGCATAGGTAAGTTGAAAATGACCATCTTTTCCAAAATTGTGAATTTCATGGCCCCAGGGTCCGGGGTTCTAGTGCCAGGGTGGGGCTATATAGATTATATAGTGAAAATGCATAAATTTTTTGAAATTCTTCTTTTCTGTTTGTGGGCATTGAATAAACTAACCAAGTGCATAGTTATGCTGATTAAGACTGCCTCTTCTCAAATTGTGAATTTAATAGCCCCAGGGTCAGTGGTTCTAGTGGTAGCCTAGGGTGGGGCTATATAGATTATATAGTGAAAATGCAAAAATTCTTTGAAATTCTTCTTCTCAGTTCATGGGCATTAAATAAACTAACCAAGTGCATAGTTATGTTGAATAAGGCTGCCTCTTCCAAAATTGTGAATTTTATGGCCCCAGGGTCCGGGGTTCTAGTGCTAGGGTGGGGCTATATAGATTATATAGTAAAAAATGAATTATTTCTTTGAAAATTTTCTTCTTTGCTCCTGAGTATTAAATAAACTTACCAAGTACATAGTTATGTTGAATAAGGCTACCTCTTCCAAAATTGTTAATTTAATGGCCCCTGGGTTGGGAGTTCTGACGTAAGGGCAGGGCTTTATTGATTATATAATGAAAATGCATAAATTCTTTAAAACTCTTCTTTTCTGCACCTGAGTATTTAATCAATGAACTATGTACATACATGTAGTTATGAGGAGGAAGGATTTTGAATTTCAGGGTCCCTGGGTTAGGGCTTCTTGTGTTAGGGCGGGGCTCTAATGTTTATACAGTGAAAATGCTTTGAATTCTTTGAAAAATCTTTTCCTTTGTTGTTGGGTATAATGCCAATGATCTTAGTATATATTTCTGACAAAAAACCTGCTTCTTCCAAAAATGGTTAATTTCCTGGCCCCTGGGACAGAAGAGGTTCTTGGGGGGGGGGGGGGTAACATAGTCTGAAATAATTTAATACGAAATCTGCACTTCGTAATTAATCAACAGCATGATGAAATAAATTTTTTTTTAAATTCCAAAATTTTGAAAGATGTGGCCCCAGGGTCAGTGGTTCCTGTGGAATGGGGAGCTCAACTGTGGACCCACCCTAACACAAGAAGCCATGACCCAGGGGCCCTGAAATTCACTAAAAGTGGAAATGCATTTTCTCTTTGTTACTCTGATCTACCTCTGGGTATTAAGTAACCAAAATAAACATGCTGAGTGTATAATTATGATAAGCAATGGTGCCTCTTTCAAAATTGTGAATTTCATGGCCTCTAGTTTAAAACATGAATCAAATTCAATTGTTGGAAAGTTGTCACATGATACGCAGGTGACCTGTAAGGCCCATGGGCCTCTTGTTTTAATTTCCATGAACATTGTTACCTTGGTTAATAAAAACAATTTTCTGTGAAATACTTCAAATATGCCACTCCTCTCACAGTTTTGATCTGATTTCAATATAATTTGGCACACAAGTAGACTACCCTAAGATACACAATTCTTTATATTGGTTTTTGATTTTGATGAACATTAATTGTTGCAGTGGTTACTAAAAATAGAAATTTCTGAAAAAACTTTCAAAATACAGAACCCATTTTTATAATATATTTAAACTTCAATACTGATGTAATTTTTGCTTTTACCTTGCCAGTTGCTCAGGTGAGCGATGTGGCCCCTGGGCCTCTTGTCTTTTTTGGAGGGGGGGGGGGGGGGGGCTATATTACTGAAATATTGAAGTTGACCGACAATATTTACAGATATAATACATCATATTTTTAGATGGCTGACAATTCTGTAGTACTGGAGTCAATCAAGAGGCAGAGGGGAATAGTATATACAGCTTTAACACCAAATCTAAAGGGATTCAAAGATGCAGTGAGTTATTAAATGCATTTCAGTATTTCAAATCTGGCTTAAAGATACATGTGTTAACATGTGTTAATGTTTAAGGTCATCCATTTCTTAAGGTTAATTTTTCAGTAATCATTCTCCAAAATATGTACCCTGTTTGATCATTTCTTGTAGAATTTTGTCTACAAACAATGAACAGGACATAAAACATGAACTCCAGATTACTAACTATTTATTTAGGTTTTAAGTGGTGTCAATGCAGTTGCAATATTTGGAGCAGCATCAGAGACATTCAGCAAGTGAGTATTGACCATTTACTGGTAATCCAATATGTCAACTTCAAGGACATACTAGTATTTCATGACATATTTACAGTCTTCAGTGTGAAGAGTCACTGCTCTAGAGTCGCGAAGTAAGGAGTTGATCCTTATGTCGCGGAATCAAATACCATTGTGAAACTTGGAGACCGGTCCTTCAGATGAGACTGTATAAACTGAGGTCCCGTGTTGAAGTACTAGGTGCTGGCATGAAAAAGATCCCTTCCTGGTCAATGGCCCTGAGTGCCGAGTATAGGACAAAATTTGCAGCTCTCCACTGGAAGTTGTGGCTTCTCCATATGAGTGAAAAATTCTCTATAGGGACTTTAAACAATAAAGAATCAAACAATCAATCAGTGTGAAGTCATATTTTCATGGAGAATAAGGGAAGACTACAGTAATTAGTTACTAAACTTAATAAGTTAGTTCACCTGCCAATTCACCTGTTTGCCTGAAAAAACCTTAACATTTCCCATAACATCTGAATGCAATCAAATTTATTATGTTTATTTCTTGTGATAGACCTTTCCTTATTTACAGTTTATTTGATTTCTTATGGTTGACCTTGGAGTTTTACCTTCTTTTGCAAAATTAGTCAAAATGTAGCTTAGCCATAATTTATACTTGTTATTTATGCTTTCTGTGTCCAGATTCTTTTATTTTGACTTTTAGAGTTTAACCTACTTTTGACAAAATTGAAGCTTGACTATAACTATTGAATAATTGATGCTAGGACTTTCATATTTCTCATAGATTTCATGTGCCAAGATCTTTTGGTACCAATTAACTCGACTCTAACTTTCAAACACAATCTTCTCTTGAAAACTTTTATCTTTGCCATAATTTCTGAATGGTTAGTCAAGGGTTTTCATATTTAGGGCTTTTCGCTTTCTGCGAAAAGACCTATTGTTTTCGTCTTGTTTTATTATTATTATTATTATTATTATTATTATTATACTTAACACTTTTATTTAAAGGATTTAAAGAAAACCGCTAGACATATGTAATTTAAAACAAAACCATTTAACGGAACATCTAAAAGTCTCCCATAAGTAAGGTTTTGTACTTCCGGAAACGTCACTTCCGGTAACTATAAGTCAAAAACTGCATTTTCTTTAAAGCCTGAAATGTTCCTCATTTTACATGAAATTTTTTTCAAATTTTAGGAATGTATTCCTCAAAGTAATATCTACAAAAAAGTCATCATAAGTCTTTTTGCACATATCGTATATTTTTGTGTTATAGGGCTCCAAAGTTAAGAAAAGGGGGGATTGAAATTAAAAAAATTGTAAACAATGTAGGAAATTTATTTTGAGGATTATATATTGTTTATCAAAGTAATTAAAGGCTGTAATGTAAGTTTCAAGTCCACCAGACCAGAACTTCCGGTTATACGAGGCTTTGAAATTGTCTATGGGAGTTTCTATAGTAAAAAAAAAATCTTTTGTCTTCCATTATCTCAAAAGGAGAGCAAGCAATTCTTGTAATATTTACAGGGAATAATTGATTTATTAAGTCTTCAGGTGAAAAGGTTAAAAATTAAATCCCTAAAAATTAGGGACTTTTAGGGGTCAACTCTTAAAATCGTTTTTGCCCTGTAACTTTTTTATTTGTCAACCAATCTTCAAACTGATTTCAGTTTTGAGTTAAGCATAAAAAGTACAATTTAAAAATTATGGGCCGTGGGGTCACTTTTTGACCCCTTAAAGGACTTTTTAAGACCTGAAATTTTGTATTTTTGAGTAATTTAAAAAAGAATGATGCAAGAGTTATCTCCCTTTGTTAAACTGTTTGGAATCTTATGTGCTCTCTATGTTTCAATTTTGGTATCGATATGTAGAGTACTTCCGGTTTTATGAGGACCTTAAATTTGCCTATGGAGATTTCTATGTTAAATTTGAAATCATACAATGTCCATTATTTTTTTTAAAAAAGCAAGCAAGTCTCATAATATTTCACATGAAAAACTACTTTAGCATTGCCTTTCGGTGCTTAGGTCATGAAAATAAAATTTCTTAAAATAAAAAGGATTTTAGGGGTCAGTACAGAAATTAGTTTTTTAAGGTCTTCCGTCTTCAAGGAAGACCTTATAGTGATTCTACTGTTTCTTATTAAGGTCTTCCGTCTTCACGGAAGACCTTATAGTGATTCTATTGTTTCTTATTATTATTATTATTATTTTTCAGTACACCAAATTTTGTGCACGCGATTTCTCGAAGACTACTGGGTGGATTTTAATGAAATTTACAGAAATTATGTGTTGTTAACTGAAGTTATTTTTTCCGAGAGATTTTTTGAAAATTTTCTTCTGGTGCCAAGTTACGGGACATTTTCTGAATTTAAAATGACATTTTGTCTACGGTTAATCTCAAGAATGGTAGAAGATATAAATGTGAAACTTTCAGGGATTATAGATCGTGATATTTGCTATCCAGGACGCGACCTTTCGTTCGTCGTCAGTACTTCCGGTCGTTAGGACAAGCGAATTAAAAAAAATGTATTTTCTAACTTTTTTGTTTTTCAATATTTTTCATTTATTTTTGGAATCTTAATAGAGACCCTTCCATTGATGCTTACTATATAATTTTTTTGAATATTTATAAATATAAACTCTAGATATAAGCATTTGAAAATCTGAAGCGAGTCCAATATGGCGGCTGTCTCTGTCCACTCCGACATTTCGCAATAGGGGTTTATGGAGGCAGCCGAGCATTTGCTTGAACGAAAGTAACATAAGTATAAATGAAATATAAAGGTATACTTTGATTGTCACGTCGTACTTACGTAACAAACTTAAATTTAATCCAAGATCTTCTCAAACGTCTTCTATAATTGGTTTTGGTTAGTTGTCAAAGAAAGAAAGGACTAAAAGTGCAAATGAAATACGAAATCCAGTATTTTTGTTTTGCACGACGGAAAAACAGATCGTATATCATAGTTATAAGAAATAGTTTTTCAAGAAACAATATCGATGTATATCTGAAGTATAAAGCTTAACTATTGTTTTCCCATGCACACTTGTGTCAGATTATACAAACAGAAGAGAAAAATAAGAAAATCATATTTTAATAGATCGTTTAATGGAGTTTATATTTACATTCTTTTCTCAAAGATATTTAAAGCTATTGAACATAAATGGTATCTGGTTCCTTGACCGTCGTAGGGCGAGACATTTGAGGTTTTTCAGCGAACCATTTCTACCTTTTCAGTAAGGTGTAACTAATCGGGATAGTTCACTTTGGGGATAAACGGGAAATTAAAAATAGTTTAAAATGATAACTATTTCACGTCTTTAGTGTTACTTACCTATATACGATATAGAATATGTACAATGTGTGAAATATACTGTCTAAACCTCGAAATTTAGGCTATAAGAACGTTCTTTTTTTCTTAATTTCATTGAAGCTATGACACCTATTTAATGGAACATTCCAAAGAAAAGGCGCGAAGATTTACTCGTGGCGTTTGGCGCGAAATTATGGATAGTGGCGCGCCTTTTAAAGTTCTTAGACAGGTGTATTGTTGAAGAAGTATATACAAAAACATTCTGAGCAGTTAACCAATAGCGTAATTTAAGCGCGTTCGGAATAAAAGAGAAAAAAAGCGCATTGGATTTTCACGCTGGCGACCTGGATTCAATCCTCTTTGTGGCAATTTTTTTTTATCACTTTTCAGCTCGATTTTAGAGGGGTTTTTTTTCCTGAATCGGACGGAAGACCTCTCATTGCTTGCAACGAGATCGTTTCTAGTTATTATTATTTTTCCGTACATCTAATTTTGTGCACGCGATTTCTCAAAGACTACTGGACGGATTTTCATGAATTTTGCAGGAATAATGTGTTATTATCTGAAGTTATTTTATTCGAGAGATTTTTTGAAAACTCTTTTCTGGTGCCAAGTTACGGACACTTTTCTGATTTTAAAATGACATTTTGTCCGGGGTTAATCTCAAGAACGGCAAAAGATATCACTGTGAAACTTTCAGGGATTATAGATCGTGATAAGTACTATCCAGGAAGCGATCTTTTGTTCGTCGTCTCTACTTCCGGTCGTTACCATATGCGAATTTAAAAAGTCGAATTTTCTAACTTTTTTGTTTTTCAATATTTTTTAATTATTTTCGTATGGTTAATAGACACTCTTTTAATTAGGCTAAATATATAATTTGTTTGTAAATTGATGAATCCAAACTCGAGATATAAACATTTGAAAATCTGAAGCGGGTCCAAAATGGCGGCTGTCTCTGTCAACTCCGACATTTCGCAATAGGGGTTTACGGAGGCAGCCGAGTGTTTGTTTGAACGAAGGTAACATAAGGATAAATGAAATATAAATGAATACGTTGATTGTCACGTAGTAATTACGTTACAGTTCTGTGTCAAACTGAAGATTTATTCCAGGGTCTTCTCAAACGTCTTCTATAATTGGTTTTGGCTGGTGCTCAAAGTAGAAAAAGAACAGACTAAATGTGCAAATGAGATAAGATACCTACAATCATTTGTTTTGCACGACGGAAAAACGGATCTTAAATCATAGTTATAGGTAATAGTTTATCAAGAAACAATATCGATGTATAAAGTAAGTATAAAACTTAACCACTGTTTTTCCCATGCACTTTTGTGTCATATTAAACTAATACAAAAGACAAGAAAAAAAAAAAGAAAGAAAGAAAACCATTTTTGAATAAGATCGCTTTATGAAGTTTATAAATACATTATTTTCTCAAAGATCTGATGCAAGTTATTGAACATGAATGCTGTCCAATTCATTGACCGTCGTAGGGTGAGGTAAGTTTTTTGGCGAAGCATTTTCAACCTTTTCATGAAAGTGTAACTAATAGGAACGTTCTTTTTTAATTTTATTCAAGCTATCACACCTTTTTAATAGAACATTCCAAAGAAAAAGCTTAACTCGTGGCATTTGGCGCGAAATTATGAATAGTGATCGGCCTTTCATAATTCTAAGACAGATGCACTGTTGCA